GGGGAGGGGAGAAAAGAAAATAACCTACAAGCTCCCGAGGCCCGGCGGGTTGCGAGCGGGAGGTCGGAGGCAAATCGACGGCACTTTGCAAAGCTTAAATTCCAGCACACGTTTTGTGGCTGCGACAAAGGGAGGGATTGTAAAGGCCACGGAGCAGTTGATGCCATGGAAGGGAGGGCACCCGCGTGCAGCACCACAGCATTTCTGTCGTTGGCTCCTACGCCTGTTTGGAGCTGCGAGAAGGCGACGCAGAGCTTGTGTAACGCACACACTCATTGAAACGGGCGTTTGGGGTTGAGGAGGAGGGGAGGGGAGAGCTGCTCTCTGCAGGGGCTCAGGCTGCTGGGGGCAGAGGCGAGCCAACGTCCCTCACGTCCCATCTGCATCAGCATGGGCGACGTTCCTTTGAAAAACGTCCTCAAACGCACAGCGGGTGCGCTGGTTTGGTAGCTCCCGTGCGCTAAATACAGTCTGGCAACCTGTACGGTCGCAAATCTACGTTTTTCTTTGCTGGAAAGGCGTCAGCCTGGGGAATCTGCGCTGGACCAGTTCCAGTACGGCAGCATTAACAAACCGGTACCACCCCGAAGGAGGTGTCCTCACCCAGACTCATTCACACCCACCCAAACCGGCCCCTGCCCAAGCCGCTGGGTGCTGGGAGCTAACCCATCTGCCGTGCACGTTCGGCTCCTCCGCAGGCTGCGTTCTCAGGGAACATTTCCTAGCAAGTGGGGAAGAATATCTCTATAAAATTATTTTAAGAGCATTACTATACTTGGGTATCTCCCTGTTGGTCCGAAATCTGGCCCCTTTTCTGCCCACTGCTTGGCACCCATGTAATTTGACTGCCATACAGAGTTGGGGAAGGGTGAGGCATTAATTTCTCCCGCACCCAGCACCTTCGCTCCCCAGGGGCGACGCAGCATCGCTGTGTGACCCAGGGGAGAGGAAGCAGGGCTGCCGGCTCGTCCTTCTCCAAGAAAACCACTTTGAGATCAGGTTTCTACTTGATACCCATCATGAGGAGGAGGAGATTCCTTATTGCAGGAGGGGGGAGGGGAAAAAAAAAAGTTTGGAGAGGTCTAATTCTGCCTGGCAATATTTCTGCATCCCCTTTTAAAGGTATGGAAATTAAGTCCAGACACACAAGAAGGCAGTGACAGGCTCCCCGCTGCTCCGGGAGGCTGGGGCAAGACCTTGATCTTTCCAGCTTCCATCTGTTGCACTCATCACCCCCACCTTCCGCCTCTCCCGCAGCCGAGTCCGACGGCCCGACAGCGACAACAAGGCAATCCAGACGTTTTAAGGGCGTATTTATAGAACTTGCACACGCGGGTGACCCTTTTGCACTAGGCTCAGTTTCTGGGTTTTCAAAACAGTGCAAGCAATTGAAACCGGGCTAACCCGTGGGGCCACCAGCGGGCTGGAGTGGCTCAATCTCAATTACCAGGCTGCCAAAGCCCAGCTTAGTCACCAAGGTGGAGTTAAACAGCTCTAAATTGCAGGGTTTTGCTTCCCCTCCCATCCAGCCCTAAACAAACCATTGCCGCATCCCTCCACCGTCACGTTTCTGCTGAGGAGGGGCGGGAAAGCTCCAAAATCAACATTTCAGTACAGAACTCACAGCCCGAGCCTCAAACCAAAACAAAACCTGAGCTTTCTATTCCCTACTAATTAAAAGTTAATTAGTCATCCAGTGCAGATGCCTCACAGATTGACAAAATGCATCCTGGTGGACAATAACTCATTTCAAAGGGAAGGGGCGGCATGAGAATTAGTATCCTTATTAGCCAGGAGAACGGCAGCAGAATGAGATGCAATATGGCAAAACACGCTGGGTTTCATCGTTATTTCAGCAGAGGTGCCCAATTTATGGGTTTCTTCCTGCCATTCTGTAGCATTTACTTCAAGTTTTCCCCTGTGTAAGTCTGAAACCTGACTCTGCCTCTGCAGCGCTGCTGTCCCGGCGTTTGGAATATTCAAGGTCATGGTTTAGATCTGACTGTTTCTGTCGGTGAAGGATATTGCTCTGTAGGAAACAGCAGCCTGCTCTGTGCTGCTGTGGTGCTGCCTCCTTTGCTAAGGAATATTAAGACAGCTACCAGAGAGTCTTGCAAAAAACCCCCATCTTCCACGAGCACTTCCACAACCACTGGGCACAACCCCCTGGCACTGCCCAGGCTGTCCCTTCATGTGCAGTGTATTTCTGGGCATCCTCACCTGAAAGTTTCTTCTCATCTTTGAGTATGGCAGTGCGACTGTACTATAGGGTATATGGTATAGAATCACGGAGTCATAGAATCATTTAGGTTGGAAAAGCCCTTTAAGCTCCCCCAGCCCAACCGCTCCCCTACCCCTGCCATCCCACCCCCAAACCCGGCCCTCAGCCGCTGCCCCTCGTCCCATCGCCCCTTCCCTGGGAGCAGAGCCCGACCCCCCCTGCTCCCCCCTCCTCTCAGGCAGTTGTAGGCAGCGATGAGGGCTCCCCTCAGCCTCCTCTGCTCCAGGCTGAACCCCCCCAGCTCCCCCAGCCGCTCCCCAGCAGCCTGGGGCTCCAGACCCCTCCCCAGCTTTGCTGCCCTTCTCTGGACACGCTCCAGCAGCCTTGTCCTTGGCCAACCAACACTCTTCCAAGTACAACTTGGGTGCTCGCGGGGACCATTCCCAACAGGCGCCTTGGACACAGCCACGCTGATTCGGCAGGTGAGAGGATGTGGCAACACGGATGAACCTTCCCTGCCCTTTCTGCCACCCTCTCCTATGCTGGGCCAAGCAATGCCAGAATAGCAGGGCTGTGCTGCAGGGACAGAAGATGCTGGATGAGCAGCAAGAGGGAGAGGCAGGGAACACACTTCACGTTTTCCTTTGAACATATTGCTGAGACTATTCTGCTCACTTTTCCTTGAGAAGCAGAGAACTGTCCGCAGTTGCTTAATGCAGCCCCAGACACCGCTGGGACCCCCTTCCAGGGAGTTTAGTTGTTTGCTATTGAATTAAAAAAAAATAAATAAAATATTCACAACGCTCAGGTCTGGATTTTGCACCTGCAGGAGGAGAGCGCGCTGTTTGTGTGTTGAATCATGTTCCAGTCCAGGGAAACACTGAAATATCTAATGCATATTTTATGCCATGCTTAAATCAATTCTAAAGCCACATCTATTTGCACGACACTTCTCTGGAGAAACAGCAGAAGAAACGACTGGCAGCCGTTTCCAAGAGCCAGGCTACCAAGCCAGCATATGCCCATAGAATAATTGTTCTGGGTCTAAAGTAGTTCTGTAAAAAATCCAGGGAAGCTTGGTTTAAAAATGAAAACCCCATTAACTATTGAACTATCGAGGGAGGCTCCAGAGAACAGAGTCACGATTCCATTACCTCTTGCTTTTATGTTTCTGGACTGGTGTCCAAAGCTGAAATCCATAGCATAAGAGTACCGTACCTCCCCTTTGTAATAAGATTTATACCAGGGGCAATGTTTAATAAATCCTGTGATTCCCTTCAGCTCAGCATGTCCCCTATTTGTGATTATTTAAGCCCTAAGTAAGGCACAGCCTTTGCACACGCTTAACGGCACCACTGCTTTGGCCCTGGAAGTTTCTTACTCGCCTTGCACTTGTCTTCTGCTATGTCTGAATGAGACATGAGCCTTGTTATTCGCAAAGGAAAAGCCCGGGATCGATCGGCGATTGGGTCTGACAAGCCAGGAACAGCGGTTTGGTTTAGCATGCAGGGCTCCGCAGCCAGACGGAAGGTTACGGTGCCGGCGCTTGCTGCACCCCGGGTACCTGCACACCAGTCGTGTCCCCTCCACATGGGATTTTGCAGTAAAGAGTCTCCAGGGTGTTACCAAAACATTTGGAAAGGAATTCAGCCGCAAAGAAAAGGCTGAGTCTTGTTAACCCTCCAGCTCTCGCATCTTTATTTGCTGCGCCCATCGCTTCTTGTGCAAAGAAATTCTGCTGGTTCTGCAGAGAAACCGTTCATCCCGGTGCATCATGAGTTGATTTGGAATCAGCAGCGCAGGTGCTTAACGCAGGAGATGGGATGAAAAGCCAGGCATTAAAAGCTGTAATGATAAACCTTCTTCTTTGTACAGCTAACTCTGATGTCCATAAATTGTAATCCAGCTTGCAGATACCCTGTAAGGATCCAGAGGGCTGGCGAGCGGC